ATCGATAATTTTGACCCATACAATGTATTGTTGGCTATTGCTACAAATATAACCATGCGACTTATGACTGGTTTTGTGGTGCAGGGTCACATATAGCATCATAGTATTTATTAATATTTTGAATTTGCTTTTATTTTTATTTTATAATTTTAGTAATTTTATGTGCTTTTGTTATTTGTATGTATTTATTTATTTTAGAATTATTCTATTTAGCTTTAATTTTTTATTTTAGTTTTAGTAATTTTAGTACTCCAACTTATTTTATTGCGCATATGCGCATAATATGCGCATCGCGTCACTCGCCCTAGATTACTCGTGGGATGTTTTTCGTGTCACTCGCGCGATCAACCATGGTGAAGATAACTATGATTGCTGCTTTGTACTAGGGCTGTGCAATTAATCACATGCGATTGTCATGCGCATCGCGTCAGTAAAGCCAGTTCCGTGATTAGTAGTAATCTCCATCTCCTGCTTTCAGTTGGAGCGGCATTTACTACACAGAGTCGTAGTTCACTGACAATTAGGCAATATCGCATTCATTAACGCAGGCGATTTGATCATAAGTCTGAAGTAGTGAATTTAGGTAAAGGGGTGCAGAGCCAGTGGTGGTTTTGTAGGCAAACATCAATGCCTTGAATTTTATGTGAGCAGCTATTGGTAGCCACTGCCAGTGCAAACTGATGAACAGAGGTGTGATGTGCATTCTTTTCGGCTCGTTAAAGATTAATTTTGGACATTCTGGATTAATTGTAGAGGTTTGATGGAACTGGCTGGAAGACCTGCCAAGAGAGCATTGCAATAGTCCAGTCTGGACACAACAAGACTTTGAACAAGTAGTTGTGAAGCATGTTCTGAAAGAAAGGACCTGATCTTCCTGATGTTGTATAAAGCAAATCTGCAGGACCAGGCAGATTTAGCAATGTGGTCTGAGAAATTCAGCTGATCATCAGTCATAATTCCAAGGTTTCTGGCTGTTTTTGAAGGAGTTATGGTTAATGTGCCTAACTGGATGGTGAAATTGTGATGAAGTGATGGATTTGATGGAACCACAAGCAGTTCTGTCTTGGCAAGGTTGAGTTGAAGGTGATGGTCCTTCATCCAGCAAGAAATCTCTGTTAGACAAGCTGATCATCAGGATAGAATGAGAGGTAGAGTTGAGTGTCATCAGCATAGCAGTGATATGAAAAGCCACGTTTCTGAATGACAGAACCTAGTGATGCCATGTAGACAGAGAAGAGTAGTGGTCCAAGAACTGAGCCCGGTGGCACCCCAGTAGCTAGATGTTGCGACTTGGACACCTCACCACTCCAAGCTACCTTGAAGGACCTATCTGAGAGGTAAGACTCAAACCACTGGAGTGCGGTTCCTGAGATGCCCTTTGCCAATAGGGTTGATTGGAGGATCTGGTGGTTCACCGTATCAAAAGCAGCAGACAGATTCAGCAAGATAAGTATTGAAGATCTGGAAGCCGCTCTTAGGGATGGGCAGTATCTAATCATTTGCGGTATTCTGGTAAAAATTCTCCCCACAATAAGAATTAGTCTTCCCGCAATAATAGCAATAAAGTCTAGTTGTTAACATATTTCTGTGTGCCGACAGTGTGGAGCAACATCGCGGAAGGGGGACGTGAATTTGAGGAGGAGTTTATCTCTAAACGAGGAGCTCCTTCTATAATCTCGAACTGGTTTTTAGGGCTGTACAGTCCACAATAAATCGGTCTGAGCCTTGAATAAATGTACTACAGTAGCACGTGTGCAATACAGTTTTGCATGTGTATGAGCCTGTTTACAAACCTGTTGTCCAACAAAGATATAATTTATTGACATGCTTTTCCTCCAAATGAAAGGTGCAATAGGAAATCTTGGAAAATGCTAACTTTAGCCTGATAGCACTGAAAACGAACGTCACACCCTCCCTACAAATCGCCGTCCAAAGCCATGCCCCCTGAACGCATATACGCACACAGATCAGACGATCAGAGACAAAATTACTGAAATAACTTTTTTTGTGACCAGACATGGTTTCATATTACAGAATGATAGTATTATATACAGTGATAAAGGCTATGTCGATTAGCATTGCATTATTAATATATTTTCCTCTATCTGCTTTATATTCAGTTACTTTGGTCTAAAGAAACAGGATTCCCTGAATTATCGTCATTGATATCGTGTTGTTCTGTGTGAGAAAGGCAGAGACTTGGTTGAACACAGCTCGTTCAAGTGTTTTTGGGATGAAAGGAAGAAGGGAAACCGGTCTGTAGTTCTCTAAAAGAGATGGGTTAAGGGTGGGTTTCTTAAGTAGTGGGGTTATACGAGTCTGTCTAAATGTTGAGGGAAAAACACCAGTGTGAAGGGATGTGTTAATGATGTGAGTGAGTGCAGGTACAACTACAGGAGAAATGGCTTGAAGGAGATGAGATGGAATAGGATCAAGCGGACAAGTAGTAGGATGATTAGAAATAGTGGTCGACCGATATTGGTTTTTTGACAGCCGATGCCGATATCTTGGAAAGCAGGGCGGCTGATGGCCGATATAAAGCCGATATAATTTTATTTATTTAATTCATATTTAAGAAATTTGAAATAATTTGAAAACAGATTTAAAAATAAATGTGTAAAATAAACATACTTATATTTTAGATGACAATGTATTTTTCACAAATAAATAAATATTTAATAAAAAGTCAACATTGTAACCAACAGGGGCACTAAGTAATCTGGGAAGTTTGTGTGTATTGGGAATCATATTTTTTCAAATAAAGCCAAGGTAACAGTCATTTTACACACAGCACACAGTGGAAATGACATGAATATGACAGTGGGCAAATGCACAAAGCGCAGCATAATTTGAAATCACGAGTTTGAAGTTTGTCGATCGCGCATCTCCAGTGAAGCTGAACTCTCCTCCTGTCCGCATTCAATTCGCATGGACCGACCATCATGCAGAGTACACGCGATCATGCAGGATACACATGCACACTTCATAAGGTCTGCCGCTGTCAGCGCCGTCAAAATAAAAGTCCCGACTAGAACGCATCGGCCAAACAGGAAAACTTATCGGCTGATATTTAAAAAATGCCAAATATCGGCCTTGGCGATATATCAGTCGACCACTAGTAAGGGGCATAACATTTCCGTCACGTGCTTGAGGAAAAACTTATTGGCCGATGCCGATATTTGAAAAATGCCAAATATCGGCCGGTATATTAGATCCGACCACTAATTAGAAAGGATGAGTATAGAGACTTCTGCCTCAGAGTGTGGAGAGAAGGATGTAAACGAGTGTATATTTGCTGGTAAGATGTGCTTGACAGATTGTGGTGTGGAAAATTGTGCACTGATGGTTTTAATTATATTAATGAAGAATGTGGGAAAGTCGTCAGCTATTAGAGTTGATGCAAGAGGGGGAGACATGGCAAAGTCGTCAGCTATTAGAGTTGATGCAAGAGGGGGAGGAGGAGGACAAAGGAGTGAGGAAAATGTTTTAAAGAGCATGCAAGAGTTATACGAATTGTTAATTTTGTTGTGATAGTATGTCCATTTAGCAGTGGAGACATTAGCAGAGAAGGAAGAGAGGAGTGATCATAAGATCAGCAGGATTTTTTTATTTGTGCCATGCCCTTTCTGAAGCCCTGAGCTTAGAACGATGCTCACGGAGAAAAACAGTTAAAAAGACACAGTTCAATTCATGTATATTTATTTTTTGTTTATTAATTTTATATTATGTATTTTAATGTGCATACATTTTTATGATTCCTTGTATTTTATTTTGTTTCAAAAATAATTTTAATAATTATTTT